GAAAATTAAGAGTAAATAATATTTATATGAATATAAGTGCATTAAAGGTTTAGTGCACTAGTGAAATAAACTCGAGAGGAATCGAGCACAAAACGCATGCGTGCGCGCGAAGGAGAGTTGATTTTTGGGTAAACATGGGCCACACATTAAAGCTTCTCTTGGAAGCTTCATTTGAACAAACACTCCCTCTCTTTTCTCTCTCATTTGGCCGGCCACCAAGCCAAGTAAAACAACACCAAAGTTCTTCAATTTCCTCTTCATTTCCTTCACCAAATCTTCTCCATTTCATCTCAAATTCCACCCACACTTAGCTAAACACTTGGTGAACATCTTAAGCTACAAAAGGGAGCTGCTTTCCTCGGTTTTCTTGAGCTGAGGAGGCCCAAAAATTTCTACCTTGTACAACTAGGAGAGTAAGTGACGATCAACCCTTCAAATCTTGCTTTATGGAAATAGTAGTGCACATATAAACTCATGCATGCATGTGGGTAGCTGTTTATGTTGGAAAAATTATTGTGTGGGCTCTATGAACTCCCACTTTGGCTGGATGGACTGACTTGATGTATGATGATGTTATTAATGTTGGTTTAGTGTTTAAATTAGTGGGATAATGTTGTATTGTGGGTAGAAACTCAAGGAAGGTGCTATGAGCAAAAGTGACCATTTTACTCCTGTCATGTTCGTGCACTTTGGTGCGAATTTTTGAGGTTTTAATGGCTTATTTATGATGTTATATAGATAGTGTAGAAAGTTTTGTTGAAAAATAATATGGTTTGGTTGGCCAAATGTATTGATTTCTAAAAGATAGCAAAACTAGAAAATTTTCCAGGATTGCCCAGGCAGTCCTGTTGTTTCAGCCATAACTCTTTGTTTCGATGTCGAAATCGAGTGCCGTTTGCGGCATTGGAAACTAGATATTCCCAGCTTTCCATGGGTATAAAATGCATGTCCTGGTTTTACTTGTGTGACCCAAACCATTTGTTTAAAAATTGCTATCCTGTTTCGTTGGTTCACTACAGGGCAGAACATGAAATACAACTTGATTCTCAAATGTGGGCTAGTTGTGGATGGATTTTGAAAATGATTTCTTCTGAGAAATTGTAACCTTATGAATGTGTTTTCCAACGCCACCAACCACGCTCAATTCCAAGTTGAATTGAGTGAGTTGTGACCAAAGTTCGAAATTGACCTAGTGTTGAACACAACCTTCTTTCGGTTAATTGAATATCCTGATCTTGTGTGGGACTTGTACTCAAAATTTTTGGTGTTAATCACCCAAAATTGTGTTCTGGATACCTCTTAGACATTGTATATGCAAATGGACCATGTTTGAGGTGCTCTGTAGGCCAAACATCTTGAAAACGGAAAACGGAACTCACAAGGCAGATTTGCCTTGAAATTTTGAAACTTTGGTGATTTGGTTAACCAACTTTCCGTGCTTATTTATCAATGGAATTTGGTAGAGGGATAGCCCTTATGTGGTAATATAATCATACCAAATTTGGTGCTATTCCAAGGTTGTTTCAATGTACAACTAAACTCCCAAAGTCTATGGTTTACACTTGGAAAAACCCTTCTTTAACAAGAAAATTTTAGTAAATTTGGATCACCATATCTTGGTGCTCAAAACTTCAATTCTCGTCCCACTTGGTTTGTTTTAAACTTGGATTACAGCTCTAATAGAGTTCCAAATTTCAAAGGCTAGTTCAAATTGAGTGAATTTTTCCGAATTTTCAAAGTTGGCCAAAAACCAACTTAAATCTGTCTTGATAACTCAAGTTATCAACTTCAAGCCAAAATTTGAATATCTTCCACTTGGATTCATGGAAAGGTGTCTTCTAGAAACTTTGACTACTTTGAAAGGTGTTTCCAACGGTACTAAATTTTCCAATTTTGGACAATCAGGAAGTGAGTTATGATTTTTCAAAAAATATCCCAAAAATTAAAAATTTTGGCCGTTTGAAAGAAATCCGCGCGGAAAACTTCTCACCAGAATCCGGCCAGTTCTTGGCTGGATAGTCGGTCGGATTGGTGTTGGAATTTGAAAAAAAAGGAGGTTGGTCTCTGCCTCCAATCCGGCCAGAACCCGGTCGGATTGTGACGTGGCCTGTCCTGTTCCGACTTCGGTCGTTCATTTTGAAACCTATTTGCATATACTTGTTCCCATCCAATGATTTTAAAGATAATGATCCATTTTTACTCTAGATTTGTAACCCTATTGAGTCTTGATTTTCAAAGGGAAATCTAGGCTCGATTTTCGAGATATATTAATGAAGAGGGGCTCAAGGCTGCTCAAACTTCTAGTGCTCAAGTCATGCAAATACCCAATGGTCCAATTACAAGAGCGCGTGCTAGGAGAATTCAAGAATCACTTCAAGCTCTTGTTTGCACGATTCAAGAACGAGTTGGTGATGACTTGAGGTCCATTGAAGGGTTACATAATGGAGAAACTACTCTATACACTTTCCTTCAAACGGAAGACCCAAGTGAAGACTAGTCCACAGAGTTCTAGATTGCTAAGTGCTAGATTGCTAGTTAGGGTTTTCGTTACCATTATTAGTTTTTGTTAGCATTAATAATTTCGGTCAATTTCCACTTTACTTTGGCCGAATTTTAGAGTCTTAATTTAGCCAATTAGTTGTTAGATATTTTACCCTTAATGAAGGGCAAGGTCGTCCATTGGACCTTCTAGGGTTTGAGTCATGTAAGGCTATATATAGCCTAGGTTTTCATTCATTAAAGATATTTCAGATTTTATAACATATTCGTGAGTTTATTCACTCTCTCTTGTTTCAAGAGAATCTCCTTTGAATACTTGAGAGTTAATCTCAAGTTGTTCATTGAACTTATCAATCAAGTAGTCTCCTTGATTGTGGCGTTCTTCTAAATATACTTTGGTTCACTAAACTGGCTAGTCTTGGGTTAAGGATTCTCCTTAGTTCGTGGCTCGTGATTTTAGAAGGGTCAAAGTTCCACAAATCCACTCAACTTGGCGTTCGTCTAGATCCGTCTCACATCAGTTGGTAATCAGAGCTAGTCGACGACATCAAGTATATCCCGTTGAGGTTCTTTGTTTTTCTCCTTTTCATTTCTTCGTAAGTTTTCTAGTATTTGTCTTCAAATCTGGTCGTGTCTTTCTTTGTGTCTAGTCCGATTATTATTACAAAAAAAAAAATTCTGTCCGCCTTTGTTGTTCTTGTTACGTTGTTCTTAGGGTTTTCTTTTACTTCGCGTACACTTCGTGCATTCCCTGTTGTGTGTTGCTGTCTTGAGGCCTGCTTTCAAGTGTAACCAAGCTGTGTGCCTGCATTTGCTGTTTGAACAAAAAAAAAAAAATATATTTTGCGACGGCTAGGGTTTCACTTGCAACTAGGGTTTCCTTGGGCGCAAGTTTCGTACCAAAATCTGTTCCAGCTTTAGTTTATTTCCCAAGTTGTTTTTTCATTAATCTCCTAAACTGATTTTTGTGGTTAAACTTGTTTGGGGGTTGGAATCTTGAAGAGGGACTGCAATAATCTAGGGTTCTTGAGTTTCTTGAACTAATCTTGAAGTCTCGAATTTTAATAGTTATTGGGGGATTGAAAGAGAACTTTGGGTTGACATTACATTCCAAAATCTGTTCCAGCTTTAGTTTATTTCCCAAGTTGTTTTTTCATTAATCTCCTAAACTGATTTTTGTGGTTAAACTTGTTTGGGGGTTGGAATCTTGAAGAGGGACTGCAATAATCTAGGGTTCTTGAGTTTCTTGAACTAATCTTGAAGTCTCGAATTTTAATAGTTATTGGGGGATTGAAAGAGAACTTTGGGTTGACATTACATTCTGGAATTTTACCCACAAGTAGCCGAGTAATTGTGTGTTCTTAGATTCGAAAAAAAAAAAAAAGAAAAGGCATTCGGGTAGCAAACAACAAAGAAGGAAGCCGCACATTTATTTACCAAATTCTGTTTTGTTGCAATTGTTCCCACAAACCAGAAAATTACATCAAGAAAAGAATACTTAAAAATTATGACCAACCTCCTCTTGAAGGTCTCCAACACTTGGCCTCTTGATTGTTTGAATCACCCTCTCAGATTTTTGACCATCTTGATTCGTGAAGACCTGTACCTCTCTTCGCACAAAAAGCTTCTTGTACGCTCTTGCATCCATACAGGGCCTCCTTGGTTTAGGGATAAAATTCTGGGGAGTTTCTTGGGCAAGCCGTTTAGGAAATTCTTGTGTAACATCACTTGCATTACCTTGTGATGCCATTGCTTAGGACCAACAGCCCAATCTGTCCGTGTGTGGTGTGGTGTAGTGCGAAGGGGAGGGGGCCGAATTGCTTGTTCTTTGAGGGGGAGTAAGGAACGAAAATTTGGGAGCAAGGAGAGGGGAGTATAACCGAGTTTTATGGGAGGTTTTTAGAAGCAAAATTCTGGAAATTTCAAAGGATAGTTTCGGGTAGAATACGAAGCTACCAAATTCTGTTTTGCACTTGGTTGACCAGCCGACTTTAGGAAAGGAACAAGGAGAAGGAAATCTGGAAAATTTGGAAACAATTCTGTTTTGGTATAGCCGATTTTGAGGACGGTTAAGGGGGTACAAAATCTGGAATTTTGGGAACCAATCCTGTTTCCTTTTAGCTGACCTTAAGGAACTTTCCAAAAGTACAACACCTAACTTGTTTCCAGAAAAATCAATTAGGAAAATTAAGGAAACACTTGGGAAACTCCACCATTGTATTTGGATATTCCTCGTTTCATTCCTTATCATTTCATTCCGTTTCTACTTTTGTTTCTTGCTACTTTGCTACAATTGGGAGCTACCTGACTAAGGTTTGATTGAATTTCCTTGAGAAATTTTCTGATTTCTTCAAAGGGAACCACCGAGTGGCTTGAGAGGTGAATTGGTAAAAGCATTAGAGTGACTTCACACTTGAGTGAAAACACGAGAGGAGTGAAACACTTCAGGGAGCAAGTGAGACCTTTTCTACTAACAATTTGTCAAGTTTTACAGGTTCACCATGTCTCAGGAAAATGAACTTACCATTGCTCAGTTATCACTTAAAATGGATGCTATGTGGAAAGAAATGCAAAGGAGACTGGACCAGCGACTGGAAACGATCCATGAGCAGATTGATCACCTAAGTTCATCTAGGGCTTCATCTAGGAAATCTAAAGAAAAATCCGCCCTGGAGGAATCTAGTGACTCCAACGCCGATTCGGACCGTGAGACCTACAGGCAAAGGAGACCGAAGAGAAACACAAGCGCAATTGGTGATGCAATCAAAGGGATTAAGATGAAGATTCCTCCATTCCAAGGCAAATCCGATCCGGCTACATACCTTGAATGGGAGAGTCGGGTAGAACTCGTATTCGATTGTAATGACTACACCGATGCACAGAAATTGAGACTTGCCATAGTAGAGTTCACCGACTATGCCATTGTTTGGTGGGAACAAATGGCTACCAGCAGGAGAAGGTGTGGCGAACCACCTATCACCACTTGGACTGAGCTCAAGCGACTTATGAAGAAGCGATTTGTACCAAGTCACTACCATAGAGACTTGTACCAAAAACTTCAAACCTTGACACAAGGTCAACGCTCAGTTGAGGACTACTACAAGGACATGGAAATCTCCATGTTAAGAGCTGATATTCAAGAAGATCGAGAGGCTACAATGGCAAGATTTCTCAGTGGTCTAAGGGCTGAAATAGCCGACCAACTTGAGCTTCAATACTATGTGGAGATAGATGATATGGTGGACAAGGCTATCAAAATTGAGCAGAGACTCAAGCGGAGGGGATCCACCACCAGAAATTATAGCACTAATCCACATCCATCTACTCGACCATTCCAGCCCAGGAGGGAGGAGCGAAGCCCAAACGCTTGGAATTCCCAAAAGCCAAAACAAGACCAAGGGTCAAGCTCACGGCCACCTTTTGCCAAATCCGACTCCAAGGTTGTTTCCAAGCCACCATTCGAAACTTCAAAACCTAGGAGTCGTGACACCAAATGTTGGAGGTGTCAAGGAGTTGGGCATATTGCAAGCCAATGTCCAAACCCACGGGCCATGCTTGTCCTACCAAATGGAGACATTGTCACTGATGATGAGGAGGAGGATTACAAAGACATGCCTCCCCTGGTTGAAGATGCGATAGAGGAAGATGAGATAGAGGAAGTTCCAACTCAAGACAAGGTTGGATTGGTAGCAAGAAGGGCACTAGCTACTCAAGCTAGTAAGGATGAGCTTCAACGTGACAACATCTTCTACACTAGGTGCCATGTGACCAATAAGGTATGCAGTTTGGTGATTGACCCCGGAAGTTGCACTAATGTTGCTAGTGCATTGATGGTGGAAAAACTAAACTTGCCAACTAGTGAACACCCCCGTCCCTACAAGCTTCAGTGGTTAAACAACAATGGAGAGGTACGTGTTCTTAAACAAGTTTTGGTTACTTTTCGCATTGGTAGGTATGAAGATGATGTTATGTGTGATGTAGTACCAATGCAAGCTGCACATATACTCTTAGGGCGTCCTTGGCAATTTGACAAAAGAGTCACTTTTGATGGTTTCTTGAACAAATACTCTTTCATGCATCATTGTAAAAAGATTACACTTGCACCTCTTACACCTCAACAAGTGCATGAGGATCAAGTTAGTCTCCAAAAAGAGTATGACTTACATACTACCGCCAAGAAGGACAACACCAAAGCCAAGAAATTGGTATTGGCCGATCCTTCTTCAAGCAAGTTGGACCCCTCTCATTCGGCCTTTGAGCCCACACGGGAGAGAAAATCCAGCATGCTTGCCAAGGTAAAAGATGTGAGAAAGGCCTTGCACTCTAACCAGGTTTTATTTATTTTATTTTGTAAGGGGTCCTTATTCACTAATGCTCCTGATGCTTCTTTGCCTAGTAGTATTACTAACCTTTTACAGGAGTATCAAGATGTCTTTCCTGAGGATATACCTACTGGTTTGCCTCCATTAAGGGGAATTGAACATCAAATTGATTTCATCCCTGGATCTTCCCTTCCAAACAAGGCACCATATAGGACCAATCCTGAGGAAACCAAGGAGCAACAACGACAAGTGGAGGAGTTGCTTGGTAAAGGTTGGATTCAAGAGAGTCTAAGCCCTTGTGCTGTACCAGTTCTACTTGTTCCAAAGAAGGATGGAGGATGGCGCATGTGCACTGATTGTAGGGCAATTAATGCCATAACGGTAAAGTACCGCCATCCCATACCTCGTTTGGATGACATGCTTGATGAATTACATGGTGCTATCATTTTTACTAAGATTGATTTGAAAAGTGGTTACCATCAAATTCGCATGAAAGAAGGAGATGAATGGAAAACTGCATTTAAAACAAAACATGGACTTTTTGAGTGGTTGGTCATGCCTTTTGGGCTAACCAATGCACCAAGTACTTTTATGAGGCTAATGAATCATGTTTTACGTTCTTTCATTGGTAAATTTGTGGTTGTGTACTTTGATGACATTTTGATCTATAGTAGGAGTCTAGATGAGCATGTTGTGCATTTACAAATGGTCCTAGATGCACTTCGCAAGGCGAGCCTCTACGCTAACCTTAAAAAGTGTACCTTTTGCACAAATCAATTGGTTTTCCTAGGCTATGTTGTAAGTGAGCAGGGAATTCATGTTGATCAAGAAAAGGTGAAGGCTATTAATAATTGGCCAACTCCTACCAATGTAAGTGAGGTGAGAAGTTTCCATGGCTTGGCAAGCTTTTATAGGTGTTTTGTCAAGGATTTTAGCACAATTACTGCCCCACTTACGTCCATTGTCAAGAAAAATGTGCAATTTCATTGGGGCGAAGACCAAGCTAAGTCCTTCCAATTACTTAAATACAAGCTCACACATGCACCTGTTCTTAGTTTACCTAATTTTGACAAAGCTTTTAAAGTAGAGTGTGATGCTTCTGGTATAGGTATTGGAGTTGTTCTACTCCAAGAGGGTCGCCCGGTTGCCTACTTTAGCGAGAAGTTGAATGGAGCTGCTCTCAACTACTCAACCTATGATAAGGAACTAATGGCCTTGGTACGGGCTCTCCAAACATGGCAACATTACCTACGCCCTCGTGAGTTTGTCTTGCACACCGACCATGAGTCGCTCAAGCATATCAAATCCCAAGATAAGTTGAGTAAGCGACATGCACGATGGATTACATTCATTGACAGTTTTACCTTTGTGATCAGATACAAGGCAGGTAAGACGAATGTAGTGGCTGATGCACTCTCGAGAAGGCATACCCTTATCACTACATTAGATGCTAAGTTGCTTGGGTTTGAATTCCTTAAAGAATTTTATGCAACTGACTCCGATTTTGGTGAGATTTTTAACTCTTTGCCACGACACTCTCGTGAGCATTATTTCATCTCTCAGGGGTTCTTATACTACAAAGACAAGCTTTGCATTCCCAAGAGCTCCATGCGCACGCTTCTAGTACGGGAAGCTCATGGAGGTGGTTTAATGGGGCATTTTGACATTGCCAAGACCTTGATGATTCTCCAAGAGCATTTCTTCTGGCCCCGCATGAGGAGTGACATGGAAAGGCACATTGAAAGGTGTGTGACTTGTCACCAAGCGAAATCAAAGGTACACCCTTATGGTCTCTATACACCTTTGCCTATTCCACATGCACCATGGGTTGATCTGTCGATGGATTTTGTGCTTGGTCTCCCTAGGACTAGAAAAGGACATGATTCAATTTATGTGGTAGTTGACCGCTTCTCCAAAATGGCCCATTTTATTCCTTGTCTCAAAACAGATGATGCTAAGCATGTTGTAGATTTATTCTTTCGTGAGATAGTTAGATTACATGGCATGCCTCGCACTATTGTTTCTGATAGGGACGCCAAATTCCTTAGCTATTTTTGAAAAACTTTGTGGTGTAAACTAGGTACTAAATTGCTATTTTCTACTTCTAGTCACCCACAAACTGATGGTCAAACCGAAGTGGTTAATAGGACTTTATCCACCCTATTGCGCGCAATTATTAAAAAAACATTAAATCTTGGGAAGATTGCTTACCACATGTGGAATTTGCATAAAATCGCACTGTTCATTCTGCTACACATTATTCGCCATTTGAAATTGTGTATGGCTTTAACCCTCTCATACCTTTGGATTTAACTCCTTTACCTGTTCATGAGAGAGTTAACTTGGATGGTAAGAATAAAGCTGCATATGTACGTGAGTTACACACTAAGGTGAGAGCCAACATCGAGAAGCGTACACTTCAATACATCCAAAGTGCCAACAAAGGGCGCCGCAAGATGGTCTTTGAGCCTGGCGATTGGGTATGGATACACATGCGCAAAGAGAGGTTCCCAGTCAAAAGGCGTAGTAAGCTACTTCCACGGGGAGATGGTCCATTCCAAGTCCTGGAGCGTATAAATGACAACGCCTACAAACTAGAACTCCCAGGTGAGTATGGGGTACATGCTACTTTTAATGTATCTGACTTGAGTCCTTTTCATGCAGACGATGAGTTTGATTTGGGGACAAATCGCCTTCAAGAGGAGGGGACTAATGAAGAGGGGCTCAAGGCTGCTCAAACTTCTAGTGCTCAAGTCATGCAAATACCCAATGGTCCAATTACAAGAGCGCGTGCTAGGAGAATTCAAGAATCACTTCAAGCTCTTGTTTGCACGATTCAAGAACGAGTTGGTGATGACTTGAGGTCCATTGAAGGGTTACATAATGGAGAAACTACTCTATACACTTTCCTTCAAACGGAAGACCCAAGTGAAGACTAGTCCACAGAGTTCTAGATTGCTAAGTGCTAGATTGCTAGTTAGGGTTTTCGTTACCATTAATAGTTTTTGTTAGCATTAATAATTTCGGTCAATTTCCACTTTACTTTGGCCGAATTTTAGAGTCTTAATTTAGCCAATTAGTTGTTAGATATTTTACCCTTAATGAAGGGCAAGGTCGTCCATTGGACCTTCTAGGGTTTGAGTCATGTAAGGCTATATATAGCCTAGGTTTTCATTCATTAAAGATATTTCAGATTTTATAACATATTCGTGAGTTTATTCACTCTCTCTTGTTTCAAGAGAATCTCCTTTGAATACTTGAGAATTAATCTCAAGTTGTTCATCGAACTTATCAATCAAGTAGTCTCCTTGATTGTGGCGTTCTTCTAAATATACTTTGGTTCACTAAACTGGCTAGTCTTGGGTTAAGGATTCTCCTTAGTTCGTGGCTCGTGATTTTAGAAGGGTCAAAGTTCCACAAATCCACTCAACTTGGCGTTCGTCTAGATCCGTCTCACATCATATATTCTAATATCGTACTAGTATACGACCTTCCTTATCATTTGGAATTATCAGTAATAGCCCATTATTAATTGCTCAGGCACACAAGAGAACCTTCAAGAGGATCCTACAGGGAACGCCTAAAGCTCCGAGTGACATTTCTTCCTTATTACTTATATTGGTGAATGTCAAGTGCATGTTTACTTGAACTCCTGTGAACTTGATACATGTCTACTTGTTACCAATGATTTAAGCTTTGAAAATGGAGTCGAGTGTGTACTTTATCGCACTCGTTCTCATTCGAAACTAATAATTGTGAATGACTTGCTTGACATGTAATGAATGACCTGCTGGATATGACATGGATACTAGAATGATTCAAATGCTTGCTAAACATGAAATATTATGCTATGGCTGCATACGTCGATGGAGTGAATCTCTTCGACACCCAAATGTACATGGGGGACGCCCAAACTCATAGGCCGACTTTGGACTTGAGCCGGCATGGGCTTGGTCGGGAACCTTGGCGAGCCATGAGATAATTAAGCTCGATCTAATGAGAGGTCTTGCTTGGCATACTCGTGGAATATCGCCTCATAAATGTCTTGCAGGCCCGGAGAGGTGTACGGTGGACGGAGGGAAGTAAGTGGTGATCTACGAAATGGAAATACCGACCCAGTTGACGGAGTGTCATCGCGGGAAGGTATACGAATGACATTGGCAAAGCAAGTGGGACTTAGCTCCCGAGAGTTACCATATCCTTGAATTGTTTCTGTTTATATTTCATTAGAATTGTGAATTTCATGTATATTCTCATTTGACCTGTTACCTGGGCTTGTTACTTAGAGTATATGGTTGCATGTGTGTTCTTGGCCTCACGAGCGTTTTGCTCACCCTGTAGATTTGTTTTCCTTAACAGGAATGAGTTTGGAATAGAACTCGAAGGAATTTCCCTTTTGATGTATTTTTGTTATGGAATTTCGATGTATTTGACTAGCCATTATGACTATTGTTATTTTGGGATTTAAGATATATTTTGAAAACCCGATGCAAGGGTTGGATAATTGTTAAATATTGTTAAGATTGAAAGCTTCTGCATCAATTGCCTTTCATTATTTGGTTGTGATGCTTAGTACTACATTAAGCTTGAACAGAATTTGCCTGAGTCCTGGCAAGAGCTGGACAGGCGTCCCGCGGATACCCTTTGGTTCGCCTTAGGGAGATGTGGAGGCATCATAGTTGGTATCAGAGCATTAGGTTAGAGATCTATATGGGAGACATATTAGATACTCTACCCTTAAGACTTGAGATCGGATAATTAAGTTATACCTTAAGAGATATTTGGGGCAAACTAGTGATTGAATTAGGCATGCATAAGCGACATCCGAGCGAGTTAGTGATTAAATTTCTAACCCGAAAAGTTTGATTATTTTGCAGGATGGAAAATAGAAATAGGACTCCTGCAGCTAATGAGAATGACCATACTAATGGTCACGTAGAGCCTCCTAGGCCTATTTACTACTGATCCCTTGGTGGAGGGGCTCGAGTGCGCTACTCACCCTCTAGTAGTTACCCTCGATGTTCGTGTAGGTTGACTTTTGCCTACCCGAACCATGTTGTACTGGCTTTGAACGACGAGCGTCGTCAATTGGTGAATGCCAACTTGGACTTACAGGCTGAGGTGGATGAGTTGAGGTAGATAGTTAGCTCGCAGAGAGAGCGGATTGTGGAGCTTGAGGAGGTTATAGAGAGCGAGGTGGCTACTGCTGCAGTCACTCGTAAGGAGCTCTAGAGTACTAGGGCTCGAGTTACTAGATTAGGAGAGGAGATCCGTGATCGGGTCTTCGGGATTCTGATTGATGCTACTAGGCTGGTAGATGAGGCGATGGATGTAGTCCAGAGCTCTGACCAGGAGGAGGTTCCGCCCGGTAGTCCTACTGTGGACTAGGCCCTAGTGATTGACTACTTGACTTTTTGATCTTTTGACCAGTACAGTTAGGATTAGTTGGGGTGATGCGAGTGCTGAAACCATTATATTTTGTATGACTGTGTGGCCTATTTTTGAGTCATTTGCTTTTACTTTAGTCTTCTGTGACTAAAAGTACTCTTGTGGCACCTGTGTGTTATATTTTTGTGACTACCCCATGACTTGCTAATTGTATGAACTTGATATGTTAAGAAATGTAAATTATTGTTATTTTCAATGTTTTCTTGATTGGTTCCAGCTTTCTACTTTTCATCGTATAATTGATTTATCTCTTGCACTAGACACGCCTAGGTTATGGAAGGACTAAGAAGTGGTCGAGATCGTGGGTGAGAGACTAGACAGGTCCAATCTCATGGGGATGAGCAGGGATAGGCAACGAGACCGACCCAAGGACAGGAAAATATTGAGGGTAATCAAGTGGCTACTGCCATTAATAGGATGACTGATATCCTAGAGCGCTTAACTGATAGACAAGGTCCTGGACCATTTAACCAACCTGGAGGACAGGACAGAGGAGAAGATAGAGCTTTAGAGAGATTCTTAAAGTTCAACCCGCCTAAATTTCTTGGTGAACCCGACCCTGAAATAGTGGAGAATTGGTTAGAGAGGATGACCAACATATTCGCCGCCCTAGACTACACTGAGGATAGGTGAGTGAATTTTGCTGCTTTTCAATTTAAAAGTGTAACTGGTGTTTGGTGGGATGTGATAAAAGGAAAATGGGAGAGAGCTCAAACCCCTTGGACCTGGGAGAACTTCACGAGAGAATTCAATGAAAAGTTCCTTCCACCTTTGATTCAAGAAAAGAGAGAGGATAAATTTATCAAGTTGAAACAAGGAACCCTTAGTGTAGTAGAGTATGAAGGGAAATTCACTAAGCTTTCCAAGTATGCTCCTGAGTTAGTAGTCAATGAACAGAAGAGGATTAGACGATTTGTGCAAGGACTTAATGTGAAAATTCAGGAGAGCTTAGCTGCAGCCCAAATTTCTACATTTACTGAGGCTTTAGAGAAGGCACAAAGGGTTGAGAGTGCAAGACTGCAAGTGAGAGACTTTCACAATAGAAAGAGGAACTTTTCTAGCCCTGCTTTTGGGCAGACTAGTAAGAATGCACAACCTTCCAAAATAGGAAGAGGAGCGGGAGGAACAAGGACTGCCGAAACTTCTAGGGGAGCTCTATCTAGAGGAGGTCGTGGTGGGCCAACTCAAATTAGGGGAGCGCCTTCTACTGGTTCGGTTGTGACCTCTCAAGTTACTTGTGAGTATTGTGGTAAATCCAACTACTCTGAAAATGATTGTTAGAGAAAGTCGGGAAAATGTTTTTTTTGTAGTAGTGCTAAACATCAAGTCGCCAATTGTCCGAAATCACCAAAAACGGGAGGTAACCCTCAAAGACCAGAAAAGTCAACCTCTAAGCAGATCAGTACCGGAGGAAGTCGACCGAAAGTACCGGCTAGGGTTTATACCCTGGATTATCAACAAATTCCTGAGGCGACTGAGGTGGTTGAAGGTACAATTCCAATCTTTTACCGTTTAATTAGGGTTCTAATTGATCCGGGTGCAACACATTCTATTGTAAACCCTAATTTCATGACTAGGATAAATTTGAAGCCAATTAAGTTACCGTATGA